CCCCTCCAGTCCGGTCCGTCATCTCCCCATGGCCGACGGTGCGTCACACGCCGTCGACACGGCGATGATCACGGCATCGGGCTCCACACCCGTGCCGGCGGACCAGGGCCATCAGCCCCAGGGGGATCTACACAMCCTCCTCACCTCCCTCCTCGCGCCCATCCAGGCGCAACTCGCGACCCTCGGGCCCCTACAGGCGCAGATGGTGACCCTTGCCGCCGGCGTGCAGAAACTCCAGGACGCTGGTCGTCCTTCCTCTCCTCATCCTCTCTCTTCTCCTGGCTCTCAGTCCGGGTCCCCAGTTCTCCGATAGGGTGGCCACGGCGGAGTTTCCTCCTCTGCCGCCCCCGACCCGGCCATTTTGGTGACCGTCCACGCCCCTAGCTCGACGACCGCCACGAGTCAGGCCCATCCTCAGTCTACGGGCGCACCGGCCCAAATTCCGGTTACGACGGCCACGGGACCACAACCCGTTACCATGGTTTCAGCGTTTCCGGGTGCCCCGCTCCTCCCCCCCCTTCGCACGACCGCAGCGCCACCTGGCTCTCCCCCCTCTGGGATGCCCCGCGCCGCTTGTGCATCCACTTCCTCCACTCTTCCCCCTGCTACCCCTCGCACGACCTACATTCGAGGTCTCGAGGACGAGATTGCCAAGCTCCGGGCCAACCTCGCCCTCTTACGCCTTCAACCACCCCCACCCTCACAGGTGGCCGCGCCTTCGGGCGCACCCCCTACCTCCTCTACCCTTCCTCCCATGCAGGCTCGCTTTCCACGCCCTGCACCCTATACAACTCCTTCCTACCTTCTTCCTACTCCTGCGGTTGCTACGACCTCTTCTACCGTAGCACCCTCGCAGCCTGCCGGTGTTGCCACCGCCGCTCCCTTATGCGGCCCGGGCGCACAGTCAGCTGCGCCCCTTTCTCCAGGACCTGCGCCGACTTACTCAGCCGTGGCACAGGCCCCCGCTCCACGATCCCCTCGCTGCCACTACGATGGCGCACCACTCATCCGCTTGTCGGACATTGCCTTGTATGACGGTACAGGCATACGCGTGTCTCGGTGGCTGCAGTCGGCCACCCGCACACTCCAACTCATGGGCGCCACACCCGAGACGTGGGTGGGTCACCTCTCAACGSGCCTGCGTGGCGGTCCTTTCGAGGCCTGGGAGGAATTCTATGCCTACTCCCTTCGTGAGGGTCGGACTCCGACCTTCGTGGATTTCCAGGCRTTCCTCGAGGATCGCTYCGGAGCCCGATACGACGTGACTGACGCCTTCGAGCGTGTCGTCACTACACGCTGGTCCGGCTCTGGTGGCGCTCCCGGCCTGGATCGCCACATCCAGGTCTTTCAGGACGCCCGCCTCGTTTGCGACGTGGCGTTCCTCCCCGAGGCTGCCCTTATCGATCGTTTCTTGGCCATCCTTCCGCTCGAGTACCGCTCCGAGCTATGGAGGTACGAGTTCACATCGGCCCCACAGGCTTACGAGGCCGCCAGGGACCACCAGCGGATGCGAGCTCGTCTTCACCCCGCCTCCTCCTCCTAGCCCCAGCGCACGGGCTACGCCTCCTCCTCCTCTCACGGCACTTCCAGCGCCGTTCCCCTTTCCGCGGTCGCCCCCGCCGTTCCACGCAGCAGGGCCGCCACTTCTCGCGTCGCTTCACCACGCTGGAGTATGGTGAGCAGGACGCTGTTGCCCCACTGTCATCTGAGGGCGACCACAGCGACGACCTCGATCTCTGCGAGGCCGTACACTATCACTTGGAGGACTCTACCCTCCCTGCTGCTGAGCGCCTTCAGCTCGCGCTCTCTGCCCTCTCTTGGGCACGCAGCCGCCCCGGTCACGCTGGCGCATCGCCCCCCGAAGGTCCCTCAGGAGGACCTCCCTCAGGGCTTCATCCTTCCTCGTGGTGTCCTTTCCCCTGAGGAGCGCGCGACTATTCTCGGCCGGCGTGGGTGTTTGCGCTGCCGCTTGGAC